CTGTTGACGAAAGAGAAGAGAATTTCGATTAATTTACGCGATACTGAAAAAGTTTTTTTTTTTATAATTGTAAAAAAAAATAAGTTAAAGGTATAAGAGACAAAATGGATAATTCCTTTGTTATCTTCCTCTCTCTCTCTTCCACCATCATCTTTGTTTCCGTCTTTTCTTCCTTTCTCTCTTACAAAAGAAAGAAGTTAACCCCCCCCCACAATAATAAATATATAAATAAATAAATAAATAATCCTTCTGCCTAAACAACAAAAACAGAAATAAAAATAACCAGGAACAGAGAAAAAGCGATAGAGAAGTAAAGAGGAGCAAACGATAGATAGCAAAGGACAAATAATGATAAAAAATAGTGAACGTCGGTCACTGGAAAAATATATAAGTAAATAACCGATAAATAAATTAATAAATATGTGAATCAGTCGACAGATAAACGTATCAATTAATCAAACTATAAATAAGTAAATGAAAAATAAACAAAAAACGGAAAGCAAAATCATCTGCAGAAAGAAACAAAAAATATAATTACAACCGCTGTTCATTAATTACATGCATTAATCTACAGTTCATTAATTAAATACATTAGTTACACTCCCTCACTCACTCTCCCTCTACCTCTCTGCCTCTCCCTCTGCTTCTCTGCCTCTCTGCCTCTCCCTCTCCCTCTGCCTCTCTGCTTCTCCCTCTGCTTCTCTGCCTCTCCGTTTCCCTCTCCCTCTCTTCCACTCCCTCTCCCTCTCCCTCTGCCTCTCTGCCTCTCTCCCTCTCTGCCTCTCCCTCTGCTTCTCTGCTTCTCTGCCTCTCCGTTTCCCTCTCCCTCTGTCTCTCTGCCACTCTCCCTCTCCCTCTCCTCTCCTCTCTCCCTCTGCTCTCCCTCTGCCTCTCTGCACTCTCCCTCCCCCTCCCTCCCCTTCTTCTTCTTCTCCTCCCCCCTTCCTCTTCCTCTCCCTCTTCTTCTCCTCCCCCCTTCCTCTTCCTCTCCCTCTTCTTCTTCCCCTCTTCCTCTTCATTTTCCTCTTCCCCTCCTTCTTTCTCCCTCTCCCTACAAGATAGAACAAAATATAAGCAAAGTAACATGAAAGACAAGAGAAGAAAGTATCAACAAAAGAGAGAAAACAAAAGAAAACGAATTAACCCTCCCTAATCTATTTTATCAAAACCAATCAACTCCAAACCCAACCCGAGTCAAGCCAAAGCAAACCAAGTCAAGCCAAAGCAACCCAAGTCAAGCCAAGGCAACTCGAGTCAAGCCAAGGCAACCCAAACGCAAGCCAAGGCAACCCAAGTCAAGCCAAGGCAACCCAAACGCAAGCAAACCCAACCCAACCGCAAGCCAAGGCAACCCAACCCAAACCCAAGGCAAGCAAACCCAACACAAACGCAAACCAAGGCAACACCAAAAAAAACAAGTCAAGCCGAAACCAAGCGAGACAAAACGCGAGACAGACGAGCGAGCGAGCGAGGCTGATCCCCCCTGGCTACCTGATGAATCTTTCCCGAGGCGACAAACAGACACCTGCGCTCTCTCTCGGATACACCGGGTGCCCATCAATGAGTAAAGGGGGGGGGATAGGAAAGATAGGGGGGGTAGGAAAGGTGAGGGAGATGCGGGGAGGAAAGGGGGGGAGGGGGGATGAAAGATGGGGGAGGGGGGAGGAAAGATGGGGAGGGGGGAGGAAAGGTGGGGGGAATGGGGGTAGGGAAGTGGGGGGAGAGAGATGGGGAAGGATAGGAGGGTAGAGGGGGGGATAGGGGAACGAAGATAGGAATAGGGGGTGGGGGTGGAGGATGGGGGGGGGATCGGGATGTAAGGACGAAGAGGGAGGGAGAGGGAGAGGTAGGTGGAGAGAGAGTAAGGAGAAGAGGGAAGGAGGAGGGAGGGCGGAAAAGAGAGAGAGAGAGAGAGAGAGAGAGAGAGAGAGAGAGAGAGAGAGAGAGAGAGAGAGAGAGAGAGAGAGAGAGAGAGAGAGAGAGAGAGAGAGAGAGAGGAAAGAAGGAAAAAAATAAGAGAAAACTAATTGAAAAGAAAAAGAGAAATACAGAGGATAAAAAGAGACAAAACAGGCTGATAAATGAAAACACGGACGGAAATACAGAGAGGAGAGGAAAGGCCAAGGGAGGAGGAAAAGGGGGGGGGGAGAAGAGGAGGAATATGCATCGAAACACTACGAAATATTACATGAGCAACGGCCGACATGATAGGAGGACAGGAATAAGCGGAGAGGGGGGAGGGGCAGGAGGAGGAGGAGGAGGGGCAGGAGGAGGAGGAGAAGGGGAAGGAGGAGGAGGAGGAGGAGGAGGAGGAGGAGGAGGAGAGGTAGGAGGAGGAGGAGGAGAAGGGGAAGGAGAAGGGGGGAGGAGGAGGAGGAGGAGGAGGGGCAGGAGGAGGAGGAAGAGGAGAGGCGGGAGGAGGGGGAAGAGGAGAGGGAGGAGGAGGAAGAGGAAGAGGAAGGGCAGGAGGAGGAGGAGAGGCGGGAGGAGTAGGAGGAAGAGGAAGAGGAAGAGGAAGGGCAGGAGTAGGAGTAGGAGGAGGAGGAGGAGGGGTAATAGAAAGAGGAATAGAAAAAAGGGAAGAGGAGAAAGAAAAAAATAGGAGGAGGAGAAGAAAGAACATTAAGAAATGGAGAAAGAGGAGGAGGAGGATAGGGAAGGAATGGGAGGCAATGAAGGACTAAGGTAAACTACGAACAAAGGTAAATAACAAAGAGAAAGGGAAAAGGTAAAAAAAAAATCATGCAGAAATTAGAAAAAAAAAATAGAAACATTATCTTATGGGAATGAATAAATAAATAAATGATAACAGAAATGATAAAATAAAAATACAAACTATGAAAAAACATGAAAAGGAAATAAAGGCTTCGACGAAACATAAAGGAAAAATCATAAAATCAACGCGAAGTCAGAACAAAGAGAAATAGCAAAATACTGAGTAATAAAATAATAAAAATTACGTTAATGATGATAATGATTATGATAACAATAATAATAACAAAATAACAATAATCATCATCATAACAACAACAACAATGATGATCATAACAAAAAAAAGGTAAAAATACCGCAACAAAACCACAGAAAATAAAAAAAAATCAAATAAACACACAATAAAAAGAAAAAGAAAAAAAGAAAAAAAAAAACGAAATAAAAAAAAATAACAATAAAATTCCGATGCAGGATCAACTCTAGCAGTGAAACATAACTAAAGCATCAATGCATGCGACTGACAACACTGCATGGCGAAAATTGCATGGCCAAAAATAATGATCGAAATAACACCGGGGAATTCCTTCATTTCTTTTCCTTGTTCCTATTTATTTTTCCTTTTTTTTTTTTCCTTGTTTCAATTTTTTTTTCTTTTCGTTTTTTTCTATTCTTGTACCTTTTCCTTTTATTTTTTTATTTTTCTTCTTTTTTTTTTGTTTTCTTTTCGTTTCTTTTTTTTTTATTCTTGTTCCTTTTTATTCTGTTTTCTCCCTTTGTTGGGGAAAATTTATGCAAATAGCTGTTATTCCTCGGGCGTTCGAATCATATCTTTTAAAATTATGACATTTCAAAGTTCTCTCATTCTTTGTTCAAAAATTAAATCAAAAATAGTCTTTTCATGTCTCTCTCTCTCCACTTATTTATTCGCATTTGCGTTATTCTTCTATTTCTTTTATTTGTTTATTCTCGTTTTCCTTTATCGTTTCTTTTTTCAAATTATATTTTCTTTCACTGCCTTTACCAAGAAAGGGATGATAGGAGGGATAAAGAAAGATAAAACAAGAGGAGAGGGAGGGGGGAGAAGAGAAGATATATGAGGAGGAAAGGAGGAAAGGAGAGAAGGTAGAATAGGAGGAGAGAAGGAAAGAAGAAAAGAGGGATAGAAAGAAGGGAGGGAGAGAAGGAAGGAAGAAAGGAGGGATAGAAGATAGACGGGGAGGGTTGGGAAGAAAGAGGAAGCAAGAGAAAAAAGGAAGAAGAAACAGAAGAAAGGAGGACGAAGGCAGGAAGGGAAGAGGAAAGGTGGGAAGGAGGAAAAACGAGAGAAAAGGGAGATAGGGAGAAAAAGAAAAGTAAAGAAGAAGAATAGATAGATAAAAATGAACCAAATTAGAAAGAGACACGCGAAAGGAAGAACAAGAGAAAAAAGAAAAAAAAAGAAAAATGAAAACAACCAAAACAAAACCAAATCACAAGAAACAAAAAGGGTAAAACACCAATCAAATCAAACCAAACAAACAAAAAAAGCACAAACAAACCCATAAAAACGAAACGAAATCAAGAGATTACAAATCCCCCCCCCCACGTATTCCGAACCACCTGGAATCGAAGCAGATATTCCCAGATTGAACACAGCGTCACCTCTTCCCTCGTGCAACAAGGGATGCAACTACCGTACTGACTGACTGGCCCAACGGTACTCACTCAGACCCGTGCGAGCAATGTATTTTCATGCAGTCAATTGATGTGTTTATTTTCGTGCAAACAAATTTTATTTTATTATCGTGCATGCAACTAAATCATGGACGTTTACAGAAAGTAGTTTAATGAACATAGTGAGTGAGGAGGAATAGTCATAATTCCATTGCATAAGGAAGGGCAACTGAAAGATACAAAGGAAGGAAGGAAGGAGGAGAGAGAGAGAGAGAGAGAGAGAGAGAGAGAGAGAGAGAGAGAGAGAGAGAGAGAGAGAGAGAGAGAGAGAGAGAGAGAGAGAGAGAGAGAGAGAGAGGATGAGAGGATAAATCAGAAAGGAAAAGAATAAACATGAAAAAAATAATACCAAAGAATAAACAAACAAACAAAAGAAACCGGAAAGAAAACAACAAAAGGCCAACAACCAAAAACAAAAAACAAAAAACTAGCCAACAACCCCGAAAAGGAAGAGAAACACATAATAAAAAAAAGAAAAAAAATGAGAGAAAATGGGGGTAATCCAAATTAACCATAGCATGAAGGAAGCAGTTCGCTCATCGGAGGAAACTCCCCCTCCCCCCATCCCCCCCAAC